TTACCGTATTTTTTCTTCATATAACTAAGCTTACGTTTACTATATCACCATTACATGTCCATATTCCACCATTACGTATCTGTCTAACAAATAAAATATGTTTCTCCTGCTGTATTATTAGATATTACATTTCCTCTAAGATACTGCTCCACTGATGCAAGTTTTATTTGTAAGCAGAAGATTGGGTATAGTAGCGATAGAACGCTTCAAACACGACTTATCATTTGTTTGGCCAGTTATATAATTAGTAGCCGAACGCTTTTTGTATTGCGGGATCCTTTTTCGATAACATAAGTAGTACATAAACATTTAGCAAAACTTGGACACTGTGTAGATTATTCAAAGTCTGGTCCGGGGCGCCAAAATAGTGTAATTGACATCAATGATTTGGAGTACAGTACATTTACGACGGCGCTAGCCTAGTTATTCTAAAGACTGAATGTCGCGCCGATTACACATGTACAAATATGCAAAAATGTGCTCAAAGGAATTCTCTTTATTGGAATGCTCAGAAATTATAGAGACTACGTCCACGATTTCAGGAGAAAGTCATTGATAACATCATCATAGTTCAAAAACAAACAAACAAAAAATTAGATTTTTTTTTTATTTTATTTTTTTACTTATTATGACATTAATTTTACACAAAAAAAACCCATTAAAATCGTAAAAAAAACATATCACCTCAAAACTTTAAGCAGTAAAATAAATAACTAAATAAGATCAGATGACCACACACATTTCAGAACAAAATTTGATAATATAACAATGTGACCAGGCATTTCAACAATTAGCAGATCCGATTACGATTGACGTGTCTACTTTTTGAACGAATGATGAAAATGAGTTATATTCAACCGTTGTCAGTATAATGTGACGGGGCGGAATGCTGTGCTGGGTTCCTTAGGCAAAGTATTGCAGTGAGATAGCACTCTAAAGTCGGCATCAGATCCATGCTATCCCAAGGAGGCAAGGACACCAATATACACGGTATCAGGCACACATACAAACATGCACGGTTACACAACACACATAGAGGCACGTCCTTAAATGACCATGTTAATAGGACGTTAAACATAAATACAACTCAACCAAACCGGCATAGCTAGCCTAATAGGTTTATAACTATACCCCGTATCAACATAATATAACCTACCCTCGACCCAAACTCAGCCCTCTGGTATCCAGTCTCCTAGAAGAAGACTGATATAGGCAAAGACTGTTGTCTTATTCTTTTGTCAATACTGTTCTAATATCTTCTTTAATGTTAACTTATATGTTTGTATTATATATGTATTGTCAATAAAATACTTTTGAAATTGAAATCCAGTCTCCCGGGCGGACAAATAGTTGAAGCCACTGGTCGAGATGATAAAGTATTAATATGTCATGACGGAACACGTTCATATCTAGGACGATATGATTTATTTCCTTCAAGGTTTTTTTCTCCTTGATTTCTATTGTTGTTTTTCCGTGTTGAATTGAAATATAATGACGTTTGGTTGAATTGTTCAAAAAACATTTACCTGATCTTGTGTGAAAAAAAAATACAAACCTTAAATTCAAATCGATTAAAATTTGAGAGTACGGATATTGAGAGTTACTGAATTCACTAGATTATTTACGATATCTACAAAGGACTGAAATCAATCCTGTGCATTCTTTGGCAAATATGTATTGTGTTTTGTTTCGTCTTCCTGTAGTTGTAAATGTTACACAGCATACTAGCTGTTTTTGTATTTCATCATTTTCTTGAGGGCACAGCCACACAAGCCTCTCTACTCTAAACATACATGACCCAAACAAATAATATCACTTTGACTAAAATTTAAAAGCCATGTCCGCGATTAAGCCAAATTCTATCTATCTATCTATATATTCTGCATCACCCTCTTTCGAGTATTATGTGCAGCCAGGTCAATCAGGTCATTTCTACCTTAGTCAAATTAGGCCCGTACTGTAGGAGTTGCCTCCCCTTGTACAAGAATACCCCTTGGTTACTTTCACTGCTTTCGTATTTATATGCATCTACATGGATATTATTTTGCAATTTGCCGATTCAATGACCAATATTGGTGAGGGAAAATATCTGTCTGAGCTAGTTTTTTATAATATCATTTTGAGACAACTTTTATTTTAGGTGTTTCCTATAAAATGAGATATTAAGATAAGAAATAAAAATGTTAAATACCAACCAGTCAATACCATTTGTAAGGTGGTTATTTATTCCCTTTATTTCCTCCAAAATGAAGATTACATAAACAGAATAGTTACATATAAGAATTAATCAACATATATACATACATGGACATTGAAAGAGTACAAGGGTATCGTTACTTTAATGTGTACATAACTAACTATATACTCCTTTATTTCCTCCAGAATGAAGATTATAATGATAGAGCATCACAATACAATCATCAATTAAACATCAATTATCAAGAATATTGTACATATATATTACAATAAATTTATGTTGTTAACATATTAGGGCATATAATTTAAGCTAGCAGTATCAGGCCCTTTTGATTATTTGACAGTACTCAACATAGATATAGTAAATGTGTCATTTTGTAATATGATATCATCATTCGAAAAACTAGTTTAACAGACGTCATACGGAACTCTTCTAGGTCTGAGTTACACAAATTGTAAGAAAAATCCCCCCCCCACCCCCCGATCAGAACATGAAATAGTTGACTTTCGTTTAAGTCGTGCAAATATACACTGAACAATATATCGCTAATATTAAAGATATTACACCATAATTCGTCCCTTAATTCGTCAGTAAAACTACAATGCAGGTCTATGTGGATGGCAACATCTTTATAAAACTGACCACATTTATGACATAATTCATTATGAGCCAACCACCTCATGGTAACAATTAATTTCATTATGTAATAAACAGCTTCTCTATTTCCTGGGAACTTTTTACATAATTTCCACAGCTGGTGTGGAACTAACTTGTCATGTATTAAAACAAACCTAGAGAAGTCAGTATTATTACACATCCTATTTAACCATACTTTTTCTTCATATCCATGCACAGCATTTTTAACCTGCATTTTCCAACGTGTTTTAAGAGGAAACCATCCCTCATTTATATACTTCTGAACCGGTTCATATAAATTATATTTTCTTAGAATCCTCAGGATATCATACGCAAAACCATACCTATTTTCTGCATCCAGATTTACAATAAAAAGTATTGTAAATAGTATACGAGACGAGAGTGTCGTACTATGTAATCTGCATATCCTACCGAAAAATAATAACTTTTTATTATCTATATATCCTTCTATACTTGTCCAACCCAGGAGGCCAGTACACATATCGGTTCGTGTTCGGGTTGCGAAACCCTGAACGGATTTGACAATAAAGTGTTGCGCCCTCTCTAACATTAATATTTCTGTGTTTGTTAGATTCTAAAGTTCACAGCCGTACAAGGCCGAAGCATACACTTCAGTTTTAATTATTTTACCTGTAGTTAAAGGGTTTAAAGCACTAGGATGACAACCAGAACGAATTAGACTCATTGTTCCACTACGAAGCTTATTACATGCACGAAGTGTGCGTTCCATACTATTGAATTTATTATTTAACATTACTCTAACATGCGTTACGTTGTCAAATTCCGGAAGGGGGCAACTATAAAGATGAAAGATTCTATTTGCATCAATTTTCTTTCTCCTTGAAAATGTTACAATGCTACTTTTTGTCGAAGAAAAAATAAATCTCCATTTTTTGCTGTAGTTCTCCCATAACTGTAACATATGTTTTAAATCAGTACGCTTAGTGCTCACTAGACAGATGTCATCTGCTTGGGTTTGAAATATTTACTCTTAAATCTGGTATAATTGCCCCTTTCTGACATTGTTCAATCGTATTTAGCAAATCATTAATGAATACTAGGTACATTTTGCCGACAATGCGCTTCCTTGTAAGATTCCCCTCTCCATCACAATCCATCTGGATAAAATGCCATTACTCACTACACAACTAGTTACATTTGTATAAATTGCTTTCATAACCATCCACAACTCCGATTTCAACTCCATCTTATACAGTTTGTATAACAAGCCACTATGCCACACTGTGTCAGATGCCTTACTGCTATCAAGGAAACTTACATACACATTTTCTCCTCTCTCAATATTATAATTCACACATTCTTGTAAGTTAAATGACGTTAGCATACTACATAAACCTGCCTGATAGGCAGATTGGTGGACATTAGGAAAAAAGCTTCAAATATCTTAAAAATGACGGGCAAGAGAGTATAAATCCACGGTAGCTATTCGGATCATCTCTTGGTTTTCCATTACCTTTGTGTAAAGTTATATTACAATTACACCTTTTTTACAATCACCTGGTATGTAATGATGTTTGATTAAAGAATTAAACAATTTGGACAAGTGACGATAAAGTAGGAGATTCCCATATCTTAATTGTTCATAGACTACATTATCAAATCCCCCTGTTTTATTTGATCTTAATTTTTCATATACATTCTTAACCTCTGTTTCCGTGATTGGTTCGTCCAAAAATTCGTTTCCATCTTTTAAACTCGTTTTTTCAATCGGGCCCTTTTCAATTAAGGCAACTTGTCTCAAAATTTGCTTTTCAAAATTTGCATCAAACATTGAGTTTGGCTTACTTTTAAACAGCTCTTCAAAATGATTTCTCGCTGGTAACTCTTGATGACCAAGTAAAGCATTAAACTGTAACAATTCAGACATTAGTAGATTGCTACCTTAAAATTATTCGTCGTCTGCATTACCGCCCTTTATTTCCGCTGTAGCGTATGGATATATGATATTTTATGTAATATAGTTCTGCACCATATTTGTAATAAATTTAGTGAGATAATATCCGCAGCATTATCTTATCAACCGTGTTTTAATTTCACATAACATATAGCAATATATCAAATAAAAATGCAAGTAAAGGCGATATTAGCATAGTGCCCATGTAACTATGATCGCGGAAGCACATTCATACCGGGGCGGCACCTTGGTAACGAGATAAACTAACAAGCTGTGTATCTGTTATGGTTCTTGGGTAGGTTGTCGTAGGGTAAAATTGTGAAGATCGAAGGAGAATTGCAACAAGATGTCGTTGCCATTCCTACCAGGGAATTCATTCAATGGGAGTGTAAGTATCTTCCTGTTGATTTTAATCATTTGTTTTGCTTCGAGTTTGTTTAAAAACTAAAATTATCGGTACTGTACTAGCCAGTAACATGTTCGTTCAGCATGGATACAAAGTCAAAGAGACAAACCTCCACAATCTATCTTTTATACTCCACAGAGACCAAAATAGCTTTGATTTGTGCATGCTTACCATTTATATTTTCAATAATGATCAATTAAGGTAATATTATTGACCGTGCATAACTGTCAAGTAGTTGACGATGTCAATGACGGATCACAACACATGCAGACACTGTTACTTTTACCCCACACTGGCACACAGACGATAATACATTTTATCGTACTGGTCAGTAAAGTGAGCAATTCTGGTTGGCAACCAGTAAGGAAGTTAAGGAAAATTACCTTCTCTTAAAACTGTTCCTTAGCAGCAATGTTGCCTCTCTATATGAAAGGCCATGATAATCTTAATTGTGTTTGGGAAATAAATCAAACTTATTTGGAACTGTTGGTCTGGAACTAGACTGTCTGTGTACATGTGATCATCCTGACCCCTTCCTCAGCTTTATCAAAGCAAAACTTACTTGTATTATCAGAATAACATTTTGTATATATATATGTATTTGGTTACAGATACTCATCTAGATACCTTATTGTGATGTACACTGTACAAGTTAAATTGTTAAATGTTATGACATTGAAAATTTTAATTTGATACAGGTATAAAGAATTGTACGATTCATTCTCAAACTATAAATATCCACTGTGTCTTAGTTTTTTTAAAATAAACATTTACCTGCAGCAGGTTTCAATTATACATAGGTTTACGTCACGTTATACCTTCATGCAGTAACATTCCCTTTAGCTCAGTTGATAGAGTGACACACTGGGAATTTGTGGGTTTCTGTCTCTCCTGTTACAAATGGTATCTGTGGCTCTCGTTTTGGTGATCAGGAGTTAGAATCTGTTGGTCACTCTGGTGTTCGAGGATGAACACTTTTAAAAAGATGGGTTTAGTGTGGTAGATTTTAATTGTACATAAGATTACAATTACCTTTAGCGTCATACTAAAGGTAACTTCTCTTGAGCTCTGCATGTATATATATAGAGAGAGAGCAGGTGACTAAGAACCTGTGGTCACTGGTTCGACCTCAGGTTGAACTGCACTATTCTCTTTTCTTGAGGGGGTTAATTTCACAGTAATTAAGGGACCTTATACAGTAAGTCAAATTTGGTTCTGTTCCGACGAATCCTGTCATGGAGACTTCCATATATACAGTCCTTTTCTGTTACGTGATAAACACTACAGTGTCATGACGGCTGGTCGAGTACAGTGCTATAGATATTAAATACATGGTTAACAGTTACCTTTTATCTACAGACTGTACTAATTATCAATGTATATATATCTTACCTTCATTGTTGTAGCTTGGAAAAACAAAATATCACAAATCGCACCACTTCGGTTACAAAAATGAAGTGTCTATGCTGGTTGGAGATGATAAGCCAGGCATTGGAGGAGAGCTATTAAGGGGGCAGAAAATCAAACCGAAGAACACAGTTTACCCCGGTGGTGAGGGAAGCAATGTACCAGCATGGGTCGCCTTTGACAGACAAGTCCTTTGCTTTGATGCTTTCTTCCAAGAGGCAGTACACGAAAAAAGGGAAGAACAATTTAGAGTTAGGAATTGCAAAATTTATTTCTACCTTGAAGATGATTCCATCCAGGTTATCGAACCAAGAGCAAAGAACAGTGGAGTTCCACAAGGTAAGTAGTGAAGCTGATTGTATTGCCCTAGTTAAACACTTTGTAAGATAAACAAGATTTAGACCCCTTTTTACATTTAGAAGAAAAAATGAATAATCTGTAATTGATGATATAATGATAAAACCAATATATTATGCAGAGGTGTGAAATTGTATCAGCCTGATGTATTGGGTAAGTAGGAATTGTTCAATATTTACTATAAAAATATAATTCAAAGTTGCAGAATTTTTTAAAAATCTGCCTGTATTTTTCACTATTTTTAATGTGAAATTGTACACCTTTGACTCAGATTTAGAAAACATTGATTCTGAACTGAAAACTTCTTTCTTACAGGAACATTAATCAGACGACACAGAATTCCAAAACCAGCACCAAATGATGATGAATGTTACACTGTAGAAGATTTTAACCTCGGAAAAGAAATCAATTTGTACTCCAAAGTTTTCAAACTAACAAATTGTGATGATTTCACTCAAAATTTCATGGGAAAACTTGGTGTACGAGTACAGCGACCAGATTCAACTCCTAACGATCCATACACCAAATACAGAAAAGCTGTAAGTATCTTATTCTATGCATATATCTAGTTAGTTTTGCTCCTATGTTATTGTGAATTCAGAGGTGCTGCATGTAATACATAATAAGTGACATTAGAACAGGTACCAGTATTAAAAGTCTTTTTTTTTACAATGGCAATTGTTAATAAACCTGTTTTCTTAACCTTAATTGATATTTTGCTTTAGATGGATGAGAGCATGCAGCCACTGAGACCATACGAGAAACATGACACACTCAAACAGTTCTTGGACCATGATCGTCATGTTCTCCGTTTCTTCTGCTACTGGGATGACACAGACAACATGTTTGGTGACCCAAGGGAGCTGGTCCTCCATTACTTCCTCGCTGATGACACTATTGAGATTCGCGAGGTCATTCCTCCAAACTCTGGACGGGATGCTGTACCCATGTTCCTCAAGAGGGGCAAGCTTCCAAAGAACATTGAATCTCTGAGACAGCCAGGTGAAGTAACTAGCCGCACCGTTCTCAATGTGTTTGGTCCCACCGGTCATGGAGGCAGATATATCTTAGACAGTTTGAAGGTAAACCATAAATGTACAATCTATATGTGACACCAGAAAACTTACTGTTTAAACTTAATAAACACAGACTTCCTCTGAAAACTCAGTATAAACTTAACAGTCATTCCTGAAAAAGGTCCTCAAAAACTTGCTTTGAACAAATTGGTTTTGTTTAAAAAAACAATCTGTAATACACCAATTTTGGAATTTAAATCCCCATTAATGCTTTAACAAATTTCTTTTATTTTTATTTTTTATTTTTTCCTCCAATTACAAGACAGCTCAGCCAAGTTTTTCCATGCATGATCAGCCTAAGCTGTCATGTCAATACATATTTTCAAAAATGTGACTTTGATAACTATGTAAAAAATTACAAATATGATTTTTGTTTATTGACCATTATATTGTAATTTTAAAGTCCTTATCAATGAAATTTAAGTTTTGAATTTAAATTTTTTTGAAAATGTCCTGGTTTAAATTTTTGTGTTAAGTTGTCATTAAGCTAACCAGCCTTTAAACAGCTTGGCCCTGGTTTTACCCTGATTGCTATACATTCGATCTTGATTGAAGCTTTTAAATTATTTCTAGAGTAGTTGAAATTTTATAATAAGTAAAAAGAGTTCTACTGTTAATGCACTACAGTAGAAGATTATTAATGAATTTAGTAACTAATTGTATTTAGTTAAATGTGTGCAAACAAGCATTTAATATTTTATTATATATATACATGTAATGTGAAACCATTATTTTCTACATCCAAATTGATTGTATCAAAATCTTCAAAACATGACATTACATTTTTTTTCAATGGTTACGTACAATGCCCTGTACCAAATGAAGTACTCTTTTCTTCATTTTCATACATTTTGCCTTGTGAAATGATAAAGTACAGAATCATTTTATAACTTTATTCATGTTGTTATGAGGATCTGAAAAATGATGCTGACCTTAACTTTGTCTAGGTTAATACCTCCTTGTATACTTAAGGTCCAATTATAATCACATCATCATAATCACTTCATCAAAAATCCACTATTGCTCAATATTGTTGTTTGCTTTTACAGACAGGTGCAGTACACACCCACTTTTACAATGACAAAGACTTGACCGTTGGGTCAGTGCTCAATGTCTGGGGCAGGAAGATCATGTTGTGTGACTGTGATGATTTCACCAAGGAGTACTACAGAACCAAGTATGGCATCGGTAAGTTTCTCAGCAATGGGACTAAAACTTGTCAGTTTTATGCACTATTTGTTTTTTGGCTGTGCTTTATAATTCAAAAACTTAATTTGCACAGTTTTTATCAGGTTGCAGTAGTCAAATTTTGTACCTTTTTTTTACGTGGACATGAATTTGATGGTAAAGTATAATGTTAAAGATGAAGTAGCATACATGTACATGTATATATGGTTCTCCGTTAAGAATTGAACCTGTTGAACTGTATATAAAAGAGATGATCACATAAGCACTGTGGATTGACTGTATATAGTTATATTTAAATTTGAGATGGATTGTATTTAACTCATTCACCCCTACAATGTAAAACTGGACTTGCCCAGTCTTTGATTTGGTAAAGCTCAAATGTGATTTCAAGGGTAAATGGGTTAATGGACATAATATATTTATGTCTGGTGCATTTTCTTACAAAAAGTAAATATTTTTACTTGCTCACAGGGGATTTCACCAATGTGCCCTACAAAAAGGACAACTACATGAGGTTTGAGAAGGAATACCCACCCTACAATGGCTGGGGAAGTGAAGAGGACTCCCTCTGTTCCTGTATGGGTCTTCTTCCGAAACCCCCCAAGCGTGACTTCATTAAATTCATGGAGAAAGACCGTCGAGGTCTGGACAGTAATGTGCTGCGTTTCCTGGCCAGGATGGACACCACCAAGCCCATTGATATGGACCGCCGGTTCATCATTTCCTACTTCCTGTCCGATGACACCATTCTTGTCTTTGAACCTCCAGTCAGGAACTCAGGTCAGTTTTTCTTAATTGTTTTTTTTGATAAAAGAAATTGGGGGGAACAACATCCATGATACTCCAGGGAATACACTTTGGATCTCTATACCCCTGGAATATGTCGGTCAAAATTGAAGGTCTCATGATATACAACATGCATAATGTACATGTAAAATCACATTTCCTAATACTGTAAAGGCAATTTTCTAATTTCAATGCTTTTTGCGCTTAAAATCTTGCACTAAATTATGGTTGCACTAGTTAAAGTTTCTGCATACACAGTGATTTTTGTAGTTTTTTTTCAGGCTAGTCCTTACATTTTTTTCGAGTTCTTGACAAGTCCTGAAATAATACTAAGAGATATAGCAAGTTCTCAAAAAGTTGGGGAGTCCCTCAAGAAAAGCATGAGTACATGACTCAAATATACGAGTCCAAAAATCACTATACATATAACGGGTGCGCTCATCTTTTCAAATCTGATAATACAAAATGTACATTAAAATTTGATTCCAGTAAAATAAGTACTTGTACAGTATTTTGTTTATTTACTGATTTGATAGTTTAAGCAGGATCAGAATATTCAAGACCGTAATGTAAAATTATTTACATGTACATATGAATGTATTAAAGATTATTTTGTGATGCTTCACAGGAATCATCGGAGGAAAGTTCCTTGAGAGGTCACGGGTGAAGCAACCATGTCAGCCCTTGTATAGTACCAAGATGTCCGAGTATTACTTGGCTCAGGATCTTTTCGTCAGTGCCCGTGTCACGTTTAACAGTCACAAGTTCGTACTCGTCGATGCAGATGAGTATGCATTCCATTACATGGAGGCTCACTCTGGAGAGGTAAATAGCCTGAAATACAAGTTACTGTAGTTTCTTTCTAGTAGATTCATGTAGTAGTTATTATGTTTATATATCGGAATATGGATGACATCAAGAATTTCAAAACTGGTATTGGATAATGTAGATTTAAGTAGTTTATTTATCAAGTTTCTGTAGATAAACTGACACCTGACTTAAATTGCATTTGTTCAAATTTCCATTGACCCAGTTTCAATTGAATTTGCAGAATAATTGCATCTGAATTTATCCTAAAAGATTTTAATTATCTACTTCAGTTCAGAAAGTCCAGCATTGATAGCATTATCCAGAAGCTGAGCAACATCCTTGGAAAGACTCCAGATGAGGTCAGATCATTTTTCGCCAAGAATGACCCCAGCGGTGGCGGTATCATCTCCTTCGAACAGCTGGCGGAATTGATGCGCCAAGTTGATCCCAGTATAACTGACCAGGAGGTCATGACCTTGGCCAGGTTCTATGCGGAGAAGACTGCGGAGGATGCAGTTAATGCACGCAGCCTGGTAGCTATAACACAGGAGCAGTTGAGGAAGAGGAATTACGAAGGATTTGCCAAACTAGTGGAGGACTGCATGCAGAATGACAAGGACAAGTATGTATTGTGCTCAATTCTGTGAAATTTCTTTAAGATATTATTTTCTTTTTATAAATAACGTTTGGAGGTATGAACTAAATCACATTGCATTGAGATAACACAAGTTATTTCAAAATTTCAAACACTTTGAAATTACGCTAACTTTGTACATCATCCGTTGCATGTAAAATGTGTTTTTTTCTTTTCTTTACCATAAGTGTTTGAATAAAGTGATGTTCTTTAGGTTAATATCATGATATCAAGTATGGGTGGCTTCCAATACACAGGAAAAAGACCTTCTTTCAAGTGATCATTTTCAGATCCATCAAATTGGATTGTCTCCCTTTACACTTTGAATTTTAACAGAAATTACTGACTGCGATATGGAGATAAAAATATATCAAGATCTTTGTCAATGTATGAACAATTTCATGTAATTTCTAGTGAATGCCTGAACTTGCCTACTTTATATTAACAGCTAGAATATAATCTGCAATATATCTTGATGATTTTTTTAATAACATAATTTCCTTTAACAGGACTGGATTCTTGGATGTGGACACAGTACGGACAGTATTCCACGCTCATCATGTACCACTGCCAGATGACATCCTTAGAGCCGCACTCGCCATGTAAGTTGTTTGTGATAATACTGTCTGTACATGTGGAATCTATAAATCGAAATCAAGGCTGTAATGTATGAATCCAAACATTTGAGATTCTGAGGAGAGAAAAAAAGTTTGAATATTTCATTTAAACGTTAATGATCACAGTTCTTAAATGTATCAATTTTGTTGTTGTTGCAGTGCCCCAGTGAATGAGAAGGGAGAAGTACAATACACAGAGGTTGTGAACAGCATGAACTGGAGAGACAGACCAGTTGCTCCCATGCAACACAAACCAGTGTCTGATGATTCCAGCTGGAGTGGAACTAAACAGGACAAATCGGCAGTGTCAAGCATCAACTACCTGAGATTGTTAGACGATATCTTCGGGAAAAATTCGAGTTAAATATATTTGTGACATTTAGGATCTACAAAAAACTTTGAAGAACTATATACATTTTCATGTTGAAACATGCTACAGAAACTGTGATATTTGTTGATTATTTCTTAAAATTTGTGCCAGCAGACAACACAAGCTAGTGTTTGTTCTATTGAAGAGACAATATTTCCAATGCACAAATGCAAAAAAACCCAGCAGAAGTTGAAACCAAGAGACAAGTTAAAATGTTTTTTTTTAAACATACTTGTATGGTCATTGATATATAACCTTCAAAACCAAACACATCTCCGTATGCAATCAGTTATATAGGTTTTGTCAGACATGTTGTCTAAATTTATGTGCTGAGAAGTTCCTTTTTAAAATATATCTTGTGAATTACAAAACTTGCAAGAATTTTGTCCTGCCAAGATGCTGTTTATAGTTACATGTATTAACAATAACTGTTTTCCAAGAAACAGTCTTTGCACGACTATAAATGATATTTTCCTCTCAAACCAGACTTCATTTGAGCTGTTATTGAATTGAATGGTACAGTATATTACCTACCGTCTACAGAACCATAAGCAAAGACTGGTATTTTTTTTCTTTCTGATGGTCACAGTGCTAAAAGTCTTTGAGCTGTAGGCAACATCATTTTTTTCCCTATGGATTTACGAAGTTTTATATACATTGGCAAATTTCACTATTTAATTTATATATATATCTTAAAGATCTGTACAGTATGGAAGTTATTGTGAAATAATGCAATGATAATAAATATTCTATGAAAAAAATCTTTGATTCATATTTTCTGTCAGAATGTTTGTATATTAACTTAAGTATATTTTGGGTAAATTTCAGTTTCATCAATGAAATTTTTCTGAAATAAAAAGAGAGTATTTGGACGGTTTCCTGTTGAAAACAATAGATACATATATACACGGTATATTTCACAAGCGCTAAGCACAAGTAAAAAATATTGATATATTCTGCAACATGTGAGAACAATATCAGTATTGAAGAGGAAATAAGGATGGTGTGCTAACATAATTCCTGGTTTTGATTACCTTGACCTACAGTACTTTCTAGGTCATTGGGGTCAAATACATATCCTTTGATACATTATGTAGACCAGAAGTATGACAACTTTACAGTTTGATAATCCAGCAAATTACAGAAAAAAATCTAGGCCTCATATTTCATCAGAAGACCATGGCTAATAGGCCTCTTTACTCCAGTAATTAAGTTATATGACATAATGTTATGCCTCAGGGAAGGTATTTAAAGTAATAAGTGGAAAATGGTCAGATGATGGAAACCCAATGCCATGCAGGCACTTTATGCAAGTTTAGATGAAAACAATTTCCGAAATTCATTTCCTACCTGATTTTATTCAAAACAATATTGAAATCAAAAGCAATTTCACAAATTAACAGCTTTTTATAAAATTGAACAAAAACTTAAACATTTAAATCAATATGATATAAATAACATTAAAATATATTCTAAATAAGATAATTACTTTTGAATTTCAATTTAATATTACCAAACACAATTTATGTTCTAGTCATATTTAATAGTACTAGTGTAAGTTAGATCTACTGCAGTAATTATATCATGTACATTTGTGTAACCATAGCATGTCATTCAGTGGTGAAATATTTCCTTCAAAGTCAATTGTAGCTTTCTTTTTGTTGTACACAAATTCTGCCCACACTTCAAATTTGTGGAAAAGTATACAGCGTTGTATCCTGTAAGTTAAATGGTCCGTCTGTATTGAATAAATATTAGTGTATATTCTGAATACTAACTCATTCATCCCTGAAATTTCATAACAAACAGTCTCTGAATCAGAGGAGTTCAAACGTGCCTTCAAGGGTGAATGAGTTAATAAACTCTATTGTACAAAACTATTTTATGTTTCGTTGTACAGCTGATCTTGTAGATTACACTTTGAGTTCCTGTAGCAAGTCTTTGTCTTTCTGTATATCTGCTTTAACCTTCTCTAAGGCTGAGAACGCTCTGCCATGTTCATCTTGGAACAGTGACCTATATAGGAAGAAAAATGGATATTATTCAATTATATAGCCTTTGGCTGAGGTCGATACCTGGATTTATCGACCCGACAAAACATATATTAACCGAAAATGCAAGATATGTTGACTGAGGACGCAGTCCGAGGTCAATATATCTTTTTTCGGGTCGATAAATCTAGGTATCGACTAAAGTTAAAGGCTATAATTGTTTTATTATTTTCAAAACAGTAACATAAGCAATCTGAAAAAATAACACAATAAAAAGCTACGGAAGCGGGACGGAGCGTTCGTTAGGAGACATATCATAATTCTATTTTTAGAAACACTCAGTTCATCAACAAAAATTATGTGCTCAAAGTCAATATCAGTTTTTATCGGTGGACACTTCTGGCCAATCACTTGTCGGGAATAATATAAAAAAATAATAATGATCAATATTCAAACTAAATGTTGATTAACTCATTCACCCCTAAAACTTTATAATGAATTATTCCAACCTTTGAATTGGAAGAGTTCAAATGTGTCTTCAGGGGTAAATGAGTTAAGGATTCCAATCTCAATGAAGGCAGCTGCAGGACACCAAAGAATTCCAGTTGACTCTTTCATACATCCCTTTAATTTTGTTTAAGATATATAACTATTACAAATATCACTTTGATTTGGATCTGTCGCTGACAAGGTAGCTCATTTGGTTAGAGTGCACCATATTGTGACCCAATTGCAAGGTCCAGAGTTGGAACACTGGTTGTGGCATTTTTAATCCTGAATGCTGCTCTTTTCTGTTTTGTTTTATATTTCACCTTTTCATAAAAATACCACCAAATATGGCTTCCTTTTGGTTTTAAAAAGTTTCCGATTCATAGCTGCACAGTGGTTTTTGGATCCTATATTAAATCAGAGACGTATGATACATAATATATTATACGTCTCTGATTAAATGTACTTCATCAGTCTGTCAATTGATGACATAAGTGCAAAGATTGTTGATAACTTCTGAAAGAAGAGGCCTATAACATAAACAGATTACAAATATATTTGAAAAGATTTAGGAATTACAAGGCAAACTCTTGTTTTTATGATAACTTTGTTTGTGTAGAACATGATATCACGGGTGCAATAGAAAGGTGATATTGGAGATATATACCTAATGGATTTCTTTGTATCCATGTCGATCCCGCTATCATTAAAATCGTTATGATTTTCTGCTCCAAGCCTTAATTCTTCAAAACTTGACTGTAATGCCATCATTTCCTGGTAGATGTCTCCAGCTGTGCAAAAAAAGAAAATCCCAACAATTCTAACTTGTTAGACTATGATATATACATGTATAGTTAAAACTGTAACATAAAAAAATATATACACTGTGTAACTCTTGCTGTCTTAAATATGTAAACTTTTTTTTTTTACAACAATTATCAAACAAGTTATTTCAACTTATATCAATCACTCTTGTTGGCCCGGATGTTAGCTACAGTGGGTCTTAATGTGGAAGGAAACCGGAGTACTGGAGAAAACCCATGTGGTCAGGCAGGTGACCCCATACCTTTTCATGTGTTATTGGGGAATCGAACCCCAGTTGCCTTGGTGAAAGGCCAGTGCCCTATCCACTGCGCCACCCTACCACCCACGCTGTCTTAAAAATAGATATTTGTTTGAAAATTGAGAGCTGAAAGATGATCAATGCACTAATGTTTTTAAGTAACCTGATCTGAAATGGAGTTGCAGAGAATTTTAATTCTTCATGGTATGTTTTTCCTTTTACATTGCATCATATTCCACAAACAGAAAATGTTATGCAACCAAAAAATACAAAATTTCACAATTGTTTGAGAATTTGTTTCATTATAACTATTTATGTAACTGATCAATTTTCGAGAATAATTTGATCATCAGGACAACATTACTTATTATATTTAAGTAGATACAAATTTAAACTAAATGTATATTTAGGATGACTTCAAGGATTGTATATATATATAACAGTTGAAGTCTGTAATATCTATTGAGGAGTTTGAACCATCAGAAGTTTGAATCTCTGGATTGAATGTTACATAGTACAGTGTATTTGAATCAATATGTAAGCAAATCTTTTTGAAAATTTCTTTCAAAATAACCATTAAAACTTGTTTCATACCAGTTACCATGAAATATAGTTTATAATTTAACACCAGGTGGGACACAATGATCTATTGGTCCATTTTAAAACAATTCCTAATACGGGGGTGGGGCAGATTTGACAGTTATAACTACAGCTTTAGGACTATTCCAGAAATAAATGACAGCTAGTACATGTACATGTATATATATATATATATGGAAAGGAGGGAAAGAAACAGGTTTTTTTGTGTGAACCACATGTGCCGCTCCCCAACACATCCACTTAACTCTCCATCCCCCTCCATCACATTTATATCATTCTTTGACCCTTAATTACACAAAAGTCAACACTTTTTTAGACACCCCAACCCATATCATAAGAAAGCACTAATCCACATGCAGTCCCCTCCACTGGACAATAATATTTTTGAATAAAAAATAAACAAAGGGTGATAACTGTTTTGGGCACAAGACCCACTTTTCAATACACCATGATCTACCAACCTAATGAACCTATTAACAAAATTTGACAATTGTACAGTGAATGAGAATGAGATATAGCTCACACAGAGAACAAAGTGCCATACCCCTTATTAAACCGAGGCATGGAAATGTTCAAACCTGATTTTGATATGCGACACTCAGCCACCCAAAGATCGGACACTTGCATTTTTTTTTTTGAAAGGTGACACTACATATCCTGGAAAAAATTAAGTACTTAGATTGATGGCCAAAGTATAAACATATATACAAATTTCCCAACATACATCTATTGCTAGTTTCACCTGGTGGAACCAGAGGGGGACGCACAATTACAAGTGCATCCCTCAGCCATTCCCTAGCCCCTCCACATTTTATACATGTACAACCTTCTTTTATATTCAAACCAATCAAATTTCATTGTTACATCGATTGTTTCTAAATTTACATAACATTTTTACAATCTAGTCTGAACAAGCCTGTCTCTAATATTGTTGTACATTGCCAGATTAACAATGAAGTTTACCTTTATTTTCCATCTGCTGTTTTCTTTCTTCAAGTATTGAAATTTCCTTGCTCAGATTGTCATCATCCTGAAAATATAAATACACAATACACTACATCATGTTTAACATAAAATAAATGGGGACATCAAGGATTAACTTATTTGTGAGTGTCCACCTCCTGCAATGACTTTTTCCTTGGGACCAATACAGTGACAGGTGAAACAAGACATATGTACCTGAATGAACTGTAGCTCTAGGCCGGAAGCTCCATTTGATTCGATTCGATTTTGAAAGTTTAGATATTTAGTTTTGAAATTTTACATCATTGGATTATGGTTCAATGATGCAAGTCCCTGTAGGAAGGGCATAAGAATTGTACCTGCTGCCCCCATTGCATGATCGTAAGCGGCGACTCAATTTGGGATCTTATCTTTTCTCTTCTTTCTAAACAACTTTCTCCTTTCTAATGTCTCCCTTAACAATGCCTCACTTTTGGCCTTTAGTTGAGCGTTCACCCCTGTGAGGAAGGCTTTGGGTTCTGTCCCCTGGCCGAGACATACAGAGTTTTTAAAAATGGTAGTTTCTACTCCTGCTTAACGCGCAGCAATTTAGGAATGGGACGACTGGTTCGCCTGTTGTCAGTATAATGTGACCGGGTGGGGTGTCTTGCTGGGTGACTTTGGCAGTATGTTTCAGTGAGGTAGCACTATAAAGTCGGCATCAGTTCTGCGCTATCACATGGAGACAAACACAAACATATTGCAGCCTCCCAAAACACACACGCATATACTTCACGCATGCATCTTGCACGCTGGGGAGACGGTCCTTAAATGACCATAGCTGTTGATAGGAAGTTACAATACTAAACCAAACCAATGATGTAAAATTTCAAAATAAAATTAAATCGACAAGACCTAGAGCTGCAATTCCCACAGCTAAGACATAATGTAAATGTGGCTTTTAAGAAACGTTATTCCGTCTTTGCGTATTGCAGAGTTATCTTCTCTTGAGAGCAGGTATTGATTGTTACGTCATTTGTTTGTGAGAGTTACGTCATCAATTTTTGAGAAAACGATGTTATTTTCTCACACAAACCAATGACGTAACAATCAATACCTTGTTTAAATGCACTCATGTACTTTTAACAATCAAGAAATTTGATTCAGTTATTTGCTCTACACATTTAATACCTAAACAGCATTTTCTACAATTTAAGTGCCCTGATCAATACATGAAATATTTATATTTTCACTCACATAGAACTTTCGAGCAGCAACCAGTTTGTCTGCAATGGCTGCCAAGTTTTCTTCAAATTTGTTTCTATATAAAAAGAAAACAGTAACATTTGGTAAACATTACTAAACACAATAACAGTCTTAACTCTTACCCTGTAATATATAAATTAACACTTACACTAATTAACACCAGAAATTGTAATTAAACTACTGATTAACAACATAGTACTTAAGCATTGTAATTAAATACTAAAAAACCCATACAGTGTACCATTTACAGTTACCTATTTAATAATACTTTTCACAGAAACTCAGGTTACAAAACACATTATGCATCAATTGTATCTTTTATCGATGTTTGACATAAATAAATTTGTTGATCGTCGTTTGTCATTGAGTTCCGTGTACCTTGGGAGATTATCTCTTGTGTCCAAGATGGCGGTCTGCCAGAACCGTCGATCTTTTCATGAAAAAATCCCCTTGAAATTGCTTACACTTATGTGTTTTGCGCACCCCCCACTTTGGACATTAAATTTCTCAAAAAATTGTGCAAATGTCACGGGTTTTTACAGTAATAATTAGTAAAAATTCCAACATATGCCTGGGCTAGAAATTAATTTCTAAAACCATTGAACCCAGGACCTCCAAACTCTGGACAGACAATTTGGTTCTCTTGTCACTGACAATCGACCCGCAGTCCTGTTTGGCTACATTCATCCCTCCCTTTTCTTTAAGTCTTCATCCCTTCCCAACAACACTATCTTCAACCCAGATTTGGGTGTCCGCTTGCAAATTGTTATAGCACACCAACTGAAACAACGGTTGTTCACAGGCTTTAATGTAACAGGTTAGGAAAAAGGCATGGCAAGACCAGGGGCTTGTTCGTTTATGCGGAACAACTGGTTTGTCTGTTTTTAACTTTTTAACATTTTTGGGTATAAATCCTGGCAGACCTGTAAATGTTTATGCAGCTCTTGCAAGCCTTCTAGCTCGTCTGAAAGCTGAGACGGACGCTCTAAAAAAAGGAAGCTACCTGGTCACCGGCAGTGTCTTTTCTCCCTAAATTTTATAGTAGCCTCTTCCTTAATGAACAGGGAAAATACAGCATTAATTTCTAAGGAATTTGGAAAAATATTCCTAAATGTTTTTATTATTTTGAGAAAATATTAAGTAACACACTTTTTGGGTAGTGGTATAATGTAGCAGCGCTTGTAAAACTAGGACAGACAGTCACTGACCAGTGATCGACCAAGATCAGTTCTGCTACATTATTAATTAAGTGTACATACGGTAACTGTACCATTTTCAAAACTTTAAGGATAAACTCTAAACAACGATGGACATGTTGATATCCTATACACATTGTCTGCTGCTCACATTTCCTTGTGTTGACTGTTCTTTAGAGATTCTATTTTGTCATTTTTCTCAGCAATTGTGTTTCTTCGGGCTTGGTTTTCTTCTTCAATACTGCAAACAAAGTTATAAAAGGAAGTTACAATTGGTCTTCCTTGAAATCTTCATGATTTTAATTTCTTAATACAGTTGTAGGATCACACTACGTTCCATGATGTCAGCACAATGTGTGCACCATATGCAAACAATAAAAAATCAGGCTTTTAACCTTCCGCACATCTATGCGCACGCTAGACAATCGGTATGCATTAGCATTTGTGGTTGATGTAAAAAGTGGACTGCCTCAACAAAAAAAAATTTAAAGCTTTTATCTACAACAATATAATCTTGGTATGTTGCCATTGTTTAGCTAAAATCTATAGGTTTATCTATTTATGTATAAATGCAAAATGTACAGATCATAGACGGAATATTTACAATAAGCAATAAAATATATACATTGTACTTTATTTAATAGGAATTTTTCAAATATTTTTCATTCCGTAATATTGATCAGCCAGTTATACCAAATCACATATTTATGCAGGCTGAGGCGGATAAAGGGGCAAACATTTTTTTAGTCGCATCACATGAGCAGATGAACTTAATTTCATGTATACCAACCACAGCATCCTCTGCATTCCTCTTTATTTTCAGGTTTATATATAGATTTCACATAATTTGTAACAAGTATATTTCAAAAATTTCTTTAAATAATTAATATTTATATTAATTATTTAATTATTTTTTTAACAAAACAGTGAGATATGAGGTTATAAAATTAATTAGTATAAACATTTTAGGAAAAACAATATATACATGCTATTTCCAAATGAATACTTTTCATTAATGTGAACTTCTCTAATTTACTTAAACTCACCTGTTGGCCAATGCTTGAATCTGACCCACTTTATGATGGACAACTTTTGCAGTTTCTACAATGAAATTATTGAATTCAATTTTTTAATCCATTTCTTCATAATTTCATACTTAGGGAATTTTTAATATAGTCCAATTATCTTTCAAAGTTGAAACTAAGTAATTATCAGACAATTAAAGATATGATTCATCATATAATTAACTGCAGTAATCGAAAAGCCTGTACATTCGTCATAAACTCATTGTAATATAAACACTTTCAACTGATCAATGCTTCGTAACAAAATGGATTACACTGAATAAGATACCAGTATAAGACAGTAATTCCCCCTCTTATTATTCCTTAGCCATTACATTTATTACATTAAATTGAGAGAAAACAATTAAAATATTTTTGTAAGCGACTTGATTCGAAAATACAATCACACTCACTGTGTTCAAACTTAACATGAGACCCATGGACAATCAGTGAAAAACACTGTAGGTCTATGGGAATCACCGACTTCACAGATCAAAATATCTATGAAGTTGTTTCCTGTGATGTATATGATTCAATGATCGGCATAAAGTGGAGAGAAAAAGCCCTCTGTAAAATTACTTCTTTTATGATCAACCATATTTTCTATATTCATGTTATTGAATACTAAAGATGAAAGCAAAATTTTCTTGGTCCAAGTCTGGTTCAATATTAAATTTTCAGTAGGTCTAGATAAGATTGGTTTGGTTTGGTTTGTTTGTGTTTTACGTCATATTAACGGCTATGGTCATTTAAAGACGTGCCAGGTTTTCGTGGTGGAGGAAACCCGGAATTCCCGGAGAAAAACCACCAACTTACGGCCAGTACTTGGCGACTGCACCACGCAGGTCTCGAACCCGCAACCCAGTGGTGGAGGGCTAGTGGTAGCAGAATGTCAGACGCCTTAACCACTTAGCCACCACGGCCCCTCTAGATAAGAAATCTGAATCTGATAAACCTATTATTTATGGTGTGTAGACTGATTAAATCAAAAAGTGATGATCTAACATTACCTGTGTTTTTGGTGTGAATATCTTTCACCTGTACTAATTTGTTCTTTACTGAAAATAAAAAGAAATAAAAAAATCAGTAAGATAACAACCAGTAAAGGATGTTTGAAAAAAATTATTAACAATGTTTTGTACTTTAAAATTGTATTTACATGAACCTAGCAAAAAGTTACTGATAAAACCCCAACCATAACCCAAGTGGTTACTTCAGGCAAATAGCTAAAATGTTTTAATGAGCACACCTGTTTTTGAAACAAGAAGCCCATGTGTCTTAACGTTCATCCGAGTTATATGTGAAAAGGCAAAATTTACAAAGCAAAATTATGGTCATTATGGTCATTTTAGTTTTATGGTCGTTTTAGTTTTTCAACAGCAGAATAATGCTCAGTAGCACAGTAGACAAAATGGTGTTTGAAAGTAACTTCCCATCAAAGTTTGAATATTTTTCAACTGAAAATTATAAAAACAAATATACCCAAAAGTATAAATTTCTGTTGATCAACATGTTTTTTTGGAAGCTTTCAATCATGATCAGTTTGTATAAAAAAAAATATAATACTTTTTTCTAATTCCTGTTCAAGTCCTCTTCTCTTTGCTCTCTCTTCATGGAGCTTGTTCTCCAGACAATTTCTCTCTGTATAAAATTAAAAAGCTTTGGTTTGAATAATTGACATGGAGTTCAAAAATAACTCAACAAATCAATTTGAAATTGATATCAGTTTATATTTTAAAAAAGAAAATGTATTACATTTGAAAAATCAAAAAATACATATTTAGCAATTTACTGATTTCAAAATTCTAGTCGGTTTCCAGTTTATAGTTGACTATAGCCAGGCTACCAGCCCCTAAGGTTTTGCACAGACACCTATTACAAATGGACACAAAACTACTAATGCACTCAAAAACAGATCTGTATCACTACATTTTATCTAATGCTTCATTATCTTTTTGCTCTTTTGTGTTAGGTACCTGTGTTCTATTCAAAGAACTTTCCAGCTTTCTTTTTTCTACTACAGTAGCTTATTTCCTCTTGGTTTGAAACTTCGGGTCAATAAGCACTTCCCTGCACAAGCATTTAACTCAGAATTGTTATGCATTTCTGTACACAACTAAGTACCTATTGCTCTCTGATACAATTTCCTTCCATTCATTAACTTAAAAAAATATCTTTCTAACTTACAACCTCCTGTTTATTTAGTTACTGATAAGACATAATTTGTTAGTTTAGTCCTGTCAGTGTGGCCCGTAAATGGTGCTCATGCAGACCAATAACAAATTATGGGATAAGATGCTGACCAGCTGGCAGTAATGAGGGTTATTGGTGGGGCTAGTGCTCCTGCTGAGTTTTTGGTTTCAAAGGCAGCCAGTCTCATGGGTCATATTACAAACCATCTTATCCACATATCTAAGTAATCTAATTGATTAAGAAGGGTTGGTGTGTAGTCTAACAGTTGATAAATCAGAATGTTGAAACTTCATTTTATGTGTTTGACCAGCTTTTCAAAAACTTTCCTACAATTGTTTTTTTAAACAGTCTAGATTTATTTCAAGTTATCAACAGAGGTGTTTGCGTCTACAGTGTCTAGGAAATATTGTTTCCTTCTCTTAATGCACTACATGTTTTCCTGTTCTTTTACTGGACACAAACCCCCGTAGTTGTCCTACACATTAAAATAACATTATGTAGATGGCAGGATATTGAGGATAAAGCAGGACACATCTCTTGTTATGTTTTCTGTTATCAATAGACACATAATTATAATGAGGTTTAAACAACAAACAGTTGTAATTTCTATTCGTAAGATGTACGTCAAAACTGGTTCCCTACTGTAACTTGCCTAAGTGTGCACACCAATATTAAAATCAAACGTTTGTCAAAGTGTCAAATCTACGTCACGAACTTAATATCAATTCAAATAAAATCTAAAGTAAAGAAAACCTTGTTGAACTTCATTTAGACTGTGTCGCAACATTTCTATCTTGATTCTTTTCGTTGTCTTAGGACGTCCGTTTGTATTCCCGCCTAACGTCAACTTACAAGAGGGGAAGTAACTCTAGCTGCAGCGAGGGCACTGGGCCGTTTCCTTTATCAGGTTCAACCGTTTCAACTGGTTCAACACCACAGAACGGACTGTGCAGATCGATGGGTTCAATCGTGTCTCGCAGAGTTAAACGTCTCATTGCCATAAGATCGCATCGGTATTTAATCTAGACTGAGGAGATAGAGTCCTTGTTTTATTTCAATGTTAATGCACATGTACTAGATCTAGCCTCGTCTGTCAATGACTAGTAACGTCAGTGAAGGCAAATTCGTCACATTAGTAAGGGTTTCTGTTAATAGAAGATTCGACTGAAATGCCTATAAATAAACATTGTTGTAAACACGCTTGAATGACGTCACGCAGAACATTTGTGACGTCATCAGGCCTACTGTGGTTTTGCTCAAAGGTGCAGGCAGTTTCGCCACCTTCAACTTGAACATTAAACTAATTTACAAGTATTTTGTTTAAATGTTTCAATGTAAAAAAAAATATGTTTATGTTACACAAGCTGTACTGATACGAACAGCTCCAAATGTGTGTGTGTAACAATGATTAACATTGAAATACATGGCTTTACTTAGTTGTGATAGTTAGTTTTCGGTAACTTGAAGAAACCGATTAATGTTGTTTAAGAAAGATGACGGGTATCGACTGAGATGATGTCATTACATGATACACAATAAAGACTCAGTCCTTAACAAGTATAAACTTCCAAATCGCTGCCCAATATTATATTTTTCATCGGGTCAGGGGGTCAGGATGAGAGGGTCCAGGGCTTTCAACGATCGCCCCCCGTCTTTTTGGATAATTTGTCACATGTACGTCTCCGATAGTCTTGCACGTCAATGGGAAACATCTGACAAATTGAAAACGATTTTCTTGGGCTTGAAAACTTATTCAACAAAGACTGCCCGGCCAGGTGTTGTAGATGTACTTTCTTTTTCATGTAAAAATCAGTCTTTGGTAACTGTCGGTCTCTACGTACAATCAGCATGCGATTGTACAGCAGCACTTTCAGGCCGACAACAAATTCCTTTCAGATATAAATCTAGAAAATTTCTAGATGATATTTTAATTTAAGTGTTGTAAGATTGTTGAACGTAAGACACCAACAACACTTTTAAAAAGATACTGGTTGATTGTATTCTAAATACACATTGCATAAAAATTGAAGATTTGTTCTGTTACAAGATATTTCATAACTGTTTTGATTAAAAGTATAGCTTTCCCCTTCTGTTCTTGTTAACATGTTTGAAGGCTTTAACTGTGTTGAAGACTATGGTGACGTTATTTACGTCACATCTTACAATTGTATGTACATGTATTATGACGTCATATGGCATTTTCGTCACAGGGTGGCGAATTTGGGTGCATGGCGAATTTGCCTGCACTAACGTTACATGTGGTTTATGGAATATTTCTGTAAGTTATTACTTTGAGTATTTGATTGCATAAACGAAAGTGAGCCTAATATAAACATTGTGATGTTTTGCACCCAACAAAAACAACCATACAGCGGCGTACAAGATACAGTTCTTTTTTAATCAAACCGCATCCGCCAATGAAAAGAAAAAATAATAAACTCACGATTTCACGCTCGACAAAACTTATCTTGGCTGAGCCTCTAGATCTGTTAATCACAAAATAGGCTCCAAATTAGCTAACTGCTTTCATCGCCGTTAAAACTTTCTTGGAAAAGAAAGCTTTTTTATAGTAAGAGTAAGGTATAACTTAGAAACTTGAACTTTAATTTGTTGGACATGAAATTAACGAATTCTAAGTCCGTGGTTGAGGTAAAGATACTATTTAAAGAATGATCGAAAGGTTATTGAAGTTTTTCAAAACAGGATTTCATTACCAGTTCCGGAGCCGGTAAACATTGCCAAAAGACGACTGTATAGTCTATAACCCCGAAATAGTTCGTAATGATCTAAGCATTAACCGATATCAGGAATGACTCCAAAACAAAGACACAACTAGGTAATATTTCGTCTTCCCTCCTATGTTTTCGTCATATCTAGTAACAAAATCGTGTGTTTTTCATATTTATGATTGAAAGTAGCTATATAATTAAAAGAAAACGTCGTTTCTTGTATTTACGTTTTAGTGGCATTTCAAGTGATCCGTCCAAAGTTCAGGGGCTTCAAACTTTACACTTGAATGACGTTAAAAACAAAAACTGCTCTATTTCTTTTTATCATATGAATACAGAAATGACATCACAATCGAATAGGAACAATCAATGTGACGTCACGTCATTGTGAAGCGGACGTTTCAGAGGCGGCCAAGTGCAAAAAAAACCGTTTCAGATCACAATTTATACAGTTTACTTTTTATTATATGATGAAAAGAATCTGTCATTCGTTTCCCTTCATATTAAATTTATGATACTCGTTTTGATACATAAATGTATTTTTGGATTTGGATTTCGGATTTTTCATATTTGCTTGCCAAAGGCTCGCAAACATGAAAAATCCAAAACTTGTATCATAAGTCTAATATGAAGGGAAGCTTATGACAGATCCTCTATATAATGAACAACACATAATGCTGTTTTCCGAATTTTCCATTTTCATATATATATGATAGCTGCAGTACATTCAAGCATGAATCTCGCAAATTTTATGTGAGACAACTTCAGAAAATGGATGAATTCGTAACCAGATTAATGTAATGAAGAAACTGACCAGGTCAATCAACATGTGGTTTATACATTTAATGGGTAAACTCCAGCTAGTATTATAATGATGTTCTTATAAGTAGATATAAGATAGAAACTGACACATGCAATAACATAAAGTAATTTAGCAGATTTATTTATTAATGCCCGGTATATTTATAGGTAGTTTGAACAAATACCCTATTACAGTATATTATATATAAATGTATACAGTAGTTCAGTTTGTATTGGGCACAAGTTATTAAACTTATATTAAGCCCTTTCCCAGCAAATTACAAGCATATATTTACAATAGTACAAAATGGCAGACTTAATTAATATACATATATAGACTATTTCATTTTTAAATGCTTTAATTTATAAATTGAAATTATAAGAGATAGAAACACACAGAGAGAAGGGGGGGGGGGAGGGCTAATAGTCTGTCATTAAAATACAGTACAAGTGCATATATACATGTATCATATATATCTAAGATATATCTGTTCTGTTCTGGATACAATCTAAGGGTGGTCGGGTTTATATAACAGTATATTATACACAGTTTGATTTCTATATAAGCTATCCTATATATTGTATTGAATACATGGTACCTCACATACATGTAATATATACACTGTCCCATTCAATTGTATACAGTACTAGTGTATAAATCTGATATATCTAAGATATATCTGTCCTGGGTATGATATATCTTATATAATCTATGGGTGGTCGGGTAGCGCAGTGGATAGCTCATTTGCTTTTCACCAAGGCGGCCGGGGTTCGATTCCACGATCGGACGTGAAAATCTATTGGGTCACCTGCTATATTATGGATATACATGACCGATATTGCTCTTTGAAAAAAATGTGATGTCGGCTTTTCCACAATTGTCCCTCTTTATATGAGACGATATTGGTGGAAAGTGTTATGCAGCCCTTACACAGTATGTAACTGCACCGAGTAAAACTAGAAACAACGGTAGCTGTGTCTCAGTGCTCCGCCCGTACACAGTATGTAACTGCACTTAGTAAAACTAAAAACAACGGTAGCTGTGTCTCAGTTCTCCACCCGTACACAGTATGTAACTGCACTGAGTAGAACTAGAAACAACGGTAGCTGTGTCTCAGTGCTCCATGAAACTGCTGTCGCCCCGTTATGTGCTGCTTTTGTCTCCTCAATCCAACCATCCACCAGGGTCTCAAGAATGTTCATGGACATAGGGCCGTTTTCCAAAATCATAGAATGGAACTTCTTGATGTCGAACAATTCCCCTACAATAAACATCATAAATACAGTTCGTTTCCTTATATGAATTACTTTAATGCATTTATGTTACCAAATCGGAAACCGTCGGCACTTTCCGTAAAACGCACACGTAGAGGACCGACAGTCTCGACTATTACTATACATTTTATATTTATATTTACGTTACTAATATTTAACATCAATTCGTCATTGCTATTGAAATAGTTGATATTGAGTGGACAAATTCCTTTATTCAACTATTAAACAATGTATTTAACATGCATGTTGAATGTTTAAAATATCTACCTAATTCTTTTTCTGATTTCTTTCTCAGTTCTCGTATTTTGATTTCCCCCATCTTGTATGCGCATGCTTGACCAGGCCACGTGATGTACCGATTAATTTCAATTTCTACATATCCCGGTCCAAACGCTGTGTAGTTGAACATATATTCCATAGCCATTTCCTTTGTCCAACTGAAAAATACAAAGTTATTACAATGTAGAAGGTTAATAATTTGCTTTTCTTATGTATCCTTCGTTAATCTGGACTTCTATTTTCCGGTTAAGTATTGTCCAACTGACATTGTGCCATTTACTAACGTTTTCATTTGATATGTATATGTATTGTACATACTAACCATAAAATCTCTTTTCCTTTGATTTTTTTTCCTAAATACCAAGAGCAAGGCTCATGTAACAGTTTATTAAAATTATGTTATGTATATGCATTTCTAAGCTCATTTCATAAATATCACATGAAATGGATACTCTTTGACGGATTTCTGCTCTACCTAGGGCAAAGACTAGCGAATTCCCTTTACTTTTTGTACATATACTAACATCCCCTCAAGTTTGGTTTGGTTATATCTGTAGCGCAAATGGGAAAGGACGCAGACGATAAGAGAAACAGTGTCGTGTCTAAAAGTCCATTGAGATCAAATCCTGGTCTGTCGTAATAGTCTTTTTACACCCAGAATACTGTAAACTCTGTTTTGTTCATTTTCGTCTTTATTCTTTCTTTTCGGAAATGATCATCAAAGCTATATTCATGATGGGGAAATGTTTACAATGCATAGTAACCCTTTTTCGCAGTGATACGGTGATTCTCTTAAGATCTTTCATAAAAGTGTTCAACCCATTTTTGTTCCTAATAATAATATCTGTAGTGATCGACAGAATGGCTGATAATCATTTTAATTTATCGCACTATTAGAACGACTAAAAAACTAATGCAATATAATGCATAAACAACGCATCCTAAAATCGACAGGGTATTAATTATTTCAAAAGCTTCGACGATCCACTTTATGTGATTATCAGGTATTCTCAGAGGAACATGTGATATCTTACTCAAAGTAATGTATCCCAGTATCAACGACCAGGCGACAGGCACGCAGCATTTCATTACTATATCTTCCCATTCTGAAAATAAATTAAATAAAAACATCAAAAATAATTGAATAAAAACCAAAATAAATAAATTAATAAATGAATAAAAGATGTCCATAGATTATTTTCATAAATAAGTAGTGTATACATGTTTGTACTTTATGTCGTTTTGTGAATAAACGGCCTATTTCATATCACACTGGTATTACTGGTAGTCATTTGCTTTTTGTAATGAGTATGGGTTGCTGTGTGGCTAGATGTAAAGAATCGCACACTATAAAATATTAATTAAATACAAAGTAAATTTAATTGCATTTATAGTGTGGATTTGCATATTTTATGTAGAACTATTTTTATAGGTGGAAGGACTTCTTGCTTTTGCCTCTGCATCTATTAAGTAAAACATACCGTGACCTGTTTACCGCTTTACAGGCAAAAACACATGTCACGTGACAGGCGATAGCGTCACTTGAACAAATTTTGTCACAGACCAAAGGTAGGAAGTTTCGCTCATTTTTTATCCCGTCTCCATCCCCTCATCTCCACCAAGCATTGGGGATATTTAAATATACTCATAATTAATCTTCGGAGAGTCATTTATTCATGATTTGATTTTGTTTACTTACTACATGTATGTAAGGGACAGGGCGGCGGTTTTTGCNCAATAGTCATAGTCATAGAATCACTATTGGATATTGCACAATGACTACATGTATTTTAGGTCAGTGTGTAGTGACATGTAGTGTATACATGAACGGCCTATTTCATATCACACTGGTATTACTGGTTGTCATTTGTAATGAGTATGGCTTGCTGTGTGGCTAATGTAAAGAATCGCACACTATAAAGGACGATTACAGTAATATAATTTTAAGGAATAGCAACTATGGCAACATATACAGAATGTAGCAATACGATTCCACATTGGAATTCAGGTCATATTGACAGAGCATTTTATTGGCAAACAGTAATATTATACATTATATAGGGAAAATACTGATATTTGAGGGGCAGGAAAAACGTTTTTTTACCATTGCAGTAAAAAATAACTAATTTCCAACTTGAAATGTCATCCGGACAAATACCACCCGCAGATGCTGGTAGTTTATACATGTACATCATTCAGTGACCTTGACCTTGGGGTTTCCGTACAAGTTATGTCGCATAAAGGACTGTAACTCCATTGAAAGGAGTTAAAATCTGAAATTGAAATGCCGGTGCACAACTTCATAATATACCGATCATTCAAGTGAAGCTTATACAAATCTGTCTGTTAGTTAAGACGGAGTTTTCCGGACAAGTAACTGCGGACGACAGACAGACAGACTTACTTTCGTTGCGGAGGGTATAATAACTTCAATACAGCACCCCTCCCCCTCTTGTTCTAACTCATTTTTCTAAACTTTATCAAGCAATTTATATTATTTAATAATGTAATCTATGTTATTTTGAAAATTAATTATGATCCTCCTTTTTGGGAATGCCAAGAGGTTTTACAATTCATACGAAGTCTAAATAAACTTAATTGTTGATGTTTTTTCCTTCTCCTTTTGTACAAAAAAAAATATTTGTCTTATTTGGGGTTTAAATAATAATAAGTACTTCATGCGATTGAATTGGAGACCGGTACAGAACACCTCCAAAATACCCCGGTTATCGCAATGGATGCAAAGCAAAGCTACACTAATGCGAGTGAAAGAATCTAACGATCAGATACAATTGCAGTCTTCTCGAACCCCAAAACTTAAAGTCAGTCTTTAGACATCAATTTCATATTATTTTATCCCTCTGACAACGTATGATGACAAACTGAACCGAAATGAACTTAGAGTTGTATCCATGATTGTCCAAGCCAATCAGAGGGCATGTAGCCTTCTTGTCTAATCGATAATTGAAAGTCGCGGTTTATAGTGCCATAATACATTTACATACACATAATAGTTTGAACTTTTGAATAATAAAATTAGACAAAAACAACTTTAAGCACGTGTTTAATGCATCTCCACATTATTTATGTTTATACTTACAGTTCATAGTCATCTGCATAAAGTCCCATCTCTTCGCCGAGGTATTCTGAATATAATCCCCATCCCTGCAATGTAAAATTGTAAACACGAAACGTCCATACATGTTGAAAACTGCTCTTGCTTCCGTAATCTCTTCAATTGATGCCTCTTACTTAATAGTCTCTTTCTATAGTCCGTTTCAAATATGCACGTCACTATAACCAGAGTATAACCCCAATCTCTCATTTTAATTTATATCTATTAAATATGATGCAATGTTACGTAATTGTTCTCGTATATAGAGGATTGTATGTTATGATTAGTTTCTATACGTAATTCTTGCTAATTATCATTGTGCAATTTACCACTACTTTGTGTGTCTAAACATATTTAAAGTAAACGGAACAGAGTCCCATTTATGAACACGGTCGGAATACTGAACTCCATCATTGCCACATCACCACAATGCCAGCTGTAGCCTGCTCTATCACAGACTGCGACTATGTCACGGATGACCTGGATGCCACTATCGTCGCGGCACTCATCACGGCTCACTCCGCTGTACACATACCCAAACGAGAACACGCTGCCAAAGTTGAGAAAGTTAAGCGACCCACGCTCAGTGCCGCAGGATCTAGCGAGGAGTGGGCATATTTCCAATCTCGGTGGTCGGACTATGTCAGTGCCACGAAAATCACTGGACGCGATAAAGTAATCCAGCTACTAGAATGCTGTGACGAGCCATTACGGAAAGACTTGACACGATCAGCCGGTGGTAGCCTCGCTGACAAAACCATGGATGAGGTTTTAGCTGCAATTAAAAAGCTCGCAGTACGTGAGGAAAACACTATGGTTGCAAGAGTGACGCTACACAATATGCGACAGGATCGTGATGAAACTGTCCGGAGTTACGGTGCTAGACTTAAAGGACAGGCCGGTATATGCAAGTTTGTGATTAAGTGCCCCGGATGTACAGCCGACGTCAATTACACTGACGCTATCATGCGTGACGTACTCACCCGGGGAATTGCCGATCCGGAAATACAACTTGATCTGCTAGGACACAAAAATCAGGACATGAATCTTGAGGATGTATTTCAATTTGTCGAATCAAAGGAAGCCGGTAAACGTTCAGCTTCTAGACTTTCAGATTCTCATCCAGTTGAGGCTGCCAGCAGCTCATACCGGAAAAGCAAGGCTGACAGACCGTCGTCCAAAGACACCTCCAACAAAGCAGAGCAATGTGCATATTGCGGAAAAAAGGGACACGGCAAGTCTGCCCTTGCTCGCATACGTAAAACAGAGTGTACAGCATATGGACACATATGTGGGCATTGCCATCGCGAACATCATTTTGAAATTGTATGTAGAAGCAAGGACAAACCCAAAGTGACAGACCGTGATACACTTTCCGGAAGTGCTTTGTTCGACGCATTGTGCTCTGTTCATGATTCTCTACAACATCACCACTGTACCGTTAGTGATTCTGGCATCGAACGCTCAATCTGCATCGACCACCATGTCTATGACGAACTGACGAATTCCTGGGTGAAACAACGCTCCAAGCCTCAACCATTCGTGAACGTGACGGCTAAAGTTACTGCTGAGGACTACGCCGCCCTAGGCTTCAGACTAACACGAGACACCAGCAACGTCTCAATACAGGCTATGGCTGACACGGGATGTCAGAGTTGCCTCGCTGGCTTGAAAGTAATCCGCCGCCTTGGTCTACGAGAATCAGAACTCATACCTGTAACGATGCAGATGCACACGGCTACATACGGTGGTATCAAAATTCTTGGGGCGACCATCCTTCGCTTGATTGGTAAAGACAAGGCAGGAAACACCAAGGAGACCAGACAGATGACATATGTCACAAGCTCAACAGACAAGCTCTTCCTCAGTCGCGAAGCCTGCGCTGCATTAGGTATTATCCACGATTCATTTCCAACCGTCGGAGCTCAAGTCCCTTCAGCTAGCATACATGTCGATGCTACTTTCTCCTTACCGGATCACCAAGTCAAAGCATGCGATTGTCCTACACGCCAACTGCCACCACCGCCTCCGACAAAACTGCCTTTTCCTGCTACAACGGAAAACGTTGGTCACTTAAAAGGTTACCTTCTTGACCACTACAAGTCTAGCACATTCAACACATGTGAACACCAGACTTTACCACTCATGAATGGACCTCCCTTGAAGCTCATGGTGGACTCCAACGCGAAACCTGTCGCTCACCATACACCAGTACCCGTTCCAATCCACTGGCAGGGTGCAGTAAAGGCTGGACTAGACCAGGATGTTCGTTTGGGGGTTATTGAACCTGTTCCGGTTGGTGAGCCTGTCACTTGGTGCCATAGAATGGTTATTTGTGCGAAAAAGAATGGTACACCTCGGCGCACTGTTGACTTCCAACCCTTAAATGCACATGCCACTCGCGAGACTCATCACACCCCTTCGCCATTCCACCAAGCCCGGTCTATTCCACATGGAAAGAAGAAGACATTATTTGATGCATGGAACGGTTATCACAGTGTACCCATCTGCAAAGAGGACAGACACTTGACCACGTTCATTACTCCTTGGGGGAGGTACCGTTACAAAACTGCACCCCAAGGCTACATTGCATCGGGCGACGGATACACCAGGCGCTATGACGAGCTTGTTTCGGACATCCCCAACAAAACCAAATGTGTCGACGATGTTCTTTTATGGTCAGACACTGTTGAAGAAAGCTTCTTTCAGGCAGTCCAGTGGCTTGACATATGCGGCCGTAACGGTATAACGCTGAACCCTGACAAATTTGTATTTGCAGAGGACACACTCGAATTCGCTGGGTTTGAAATAACCAACGATAGTGTACGGCCTTCACAGAAATACCTACGCGCCATCCTGGATTTTCCGACACCCAGGAACATCACAGATGTGCGGTCATGGNCTGCTTCTAACGCCCCAGACAACGTCGTCGGTGAAGAAAGCAACCCTCCCCGTAAGGATACGAGTCCTCCACCATCCACTCCGTTGACTACTAGAACCATACAAAGTTCGCCTCGTTCATCATCTGATGTTGATCACCCTTCACCACAATTTGGTATTCGAGACATCTTTAGTCGACGTCATCTAGCGTTTGATTCTCCTGCGACCCCAGTGAGCAAAATCACCACACCCCCGGCAACGATGCCACCTATCTCGACACATACGCCACAAGCAGTAGTTCCGTCCCCTGCACCGATCCGGACTTCTTGTCGTGCCACAAAATACCAGCTTGGCATTCAGATTATAAAATGTCCAAATAACAATTGACTTGTTTCTACTTGGAACGTTTCCAAAGTGTTATATCTGCAACTTTTCACGGAGACTCAATGCTTCATTTTGTTTATTTTAGGACAATTAGTTGGACATTTCTTAATAATTCTTATATTTCACATCAGTCTTTGTTCCTAGGACTAATACGAGTGACCCTATTACTTACGTGTACCAAAGACTTGGGGGAGATAGAGGATTGTATGTTATGATTAGTTTCTATACGTAATTCATGCTAATTATCATTGTGCAATTTACCACTACTTTGTGTGTCTTTTCAGACCGTGTTCATTGCTGAATAAACATATTTAAAGTAAACGGAACAGAGTCCCATTTAGTATAAATTAACTACTGTGACATTGTGAAATAAAAAAGTGGTAAATAATGGTAGTGATCTAGGCGAGGAGAAATTGCAGTTAAACGTGTCTATGAAATCCGCTTGAGGTTAAGGCTACCAACAAATAAAACTTTAGTATTACAATTGTAACTATTGTTGAAATCGCCTTCAAATGAAAATTCCAATAATCGCATACTGCCATGCACTTTACGGGAAATCTGCGGGGGTCGAACTAGGGCTAGGTTATTTGGATTGATTGACGGGTTTTCGCCTACATGACTCAACCCATGCGGGTTTCGTCTCACTGACGGAGGTCGGTGTTCTGTCGGCGTGTCGGGTTGTGCATGGATAGATATTGGGTCGGGATTTGATGAGGCAGGTATATTTGTTGAAGAAGGGAGGCGTTATAATGTGTTACTGGAAATACGTGAGCCTGGTTGATTTGTTTCCGATTGGTCAGGTTCGGTTGAATTTCGATCCTACCTGTAGCCGAATTTTGTGTCAAAATGATTTCGCTATATATGATTCAAAACTAGGCCGTGATAGACGTATTATAGCAAACTTGGGTCTTTATATAGCAAAGCCTAATCGACTAATGTTGCCATACATGACTGTGCTAGCCCAGGAGGGGCAATATGCAAATTAAAAACAAATACTCCGAGTGGGATTCCTCTTTCCATTTATAACTGACGCAGTGCTAACTTTACCTGAAGGGTGGAAGTACTCAAAGTCACGAATGTGCACAACCCAAACCCGTAAGTCGTTACGCTACTTCTTAAAACGCTATCTATAGAACAATGCCAGATACAGACGAGTGATAGTTAAAGATTGTAGCTAAGGACAGGTGGCACAGACGGTAGATACGGATAGGTTGCACAGACGGTAGTTAAGGGCAATTGGTGCAGCTGGAAGACGGTAGTTAAGTATGGACAGGTATGGACAGGTGGTACAGACGGTAGCTAAGAACAGGTGGCACAGACGGTAGCTAGGGACAGGTGGTCCATACGGTAGCTAAGAACAGGTGACACAGACGTTACGGATATGTTGCACACACGGTAGATACGGATAGGTTGCACAGACGGTAGCTAAATATGGACAGGTGGTACAGACGGTAGCTAAGAACAGGTGGCACAGACGGTAGGTAAGGGCAATTGGTGCAGCTGGCAGCTAAGGAAAGGTGGTACAGACGGTAGTTAAGGGCAGGTGGCACAGACGGTAGCTAGGGATAGGTTGCACAGACGGTAGCTAAATATGGACAGGTGGCACAGACGGTAGGTTGTGGTCAGTTGGTGCAGCTGGCAGCTAAGGACAGGTGGTACAGACGGTAGTTAAGGGCAGGTGGCACAGACGGTAGTTAAATATGGACAGGTGGTACAGACGGTAGCTAGGAACAGGTGACACAGACGGTAGCTAGGGACGGGTGGTACATGTACAGACGGTAGATACGGATAGGTTGCACAGACGGTACGGATAGGTTGCACAGACGGTAGATACGGATAGATTGCACAGACGGTAACAAAATATGGACAGGTGGTACAGACGGTAGCTAAGAACAAGTGGCACAGACGGTAGCTAGGGACAGGTGGTACAGACGGTAGCTAGGGACAAGTGGTAAAGACGGTATCTAAGGACAGGTAGTTAAGACGGTGGCTAAGGACAGGTGGTACAGACGGTAGCTGGGGACAGGTGGTCCAGACGGTAGCTAAGGACAGGCGGTACTGATTGCAGCTAGGGACATGTGGTACAGACGGTAGTTAAGGGACAGGTGGAACATGCGATAGCTAAGGACATATGGTACAGACGGAAGTTAAGGACAGGTAGTACAGACGGTAGATACGGACAGGCGGCACAGACTTTAGCTAAGGACAGGTAGTGCAGCCGGCAGCTAGGGACTGGTGGAACAGACGGTAGTTAAGGACGGGTTGCACAGAATATAGATACGAATAGGTACAGACGGTAGATACGGATAGGTTGAACAGACGGTAGCTATAGACAGATGGTACTGATTGCAGCTAGGGACATGTGGTACAGACGGAGGTTAAGGACTGGTGGCACAGACGATATATACGAATAGGTACAGTTGGTATTTATGGGCAGGTGATAAAGACGGTAGCTAAGGACAGGCGGCACATACGTTAGCTAGGGACAGGTGGTACAGAGGGTAGCTATGGACATATGGTACTGATTACAGCTAGGGACTTGTGGTATAGACGATAGCTAAGGACAGGCGGTACAGACGGTAGATACGGACATGCGGTACAGACGATAGCTAAGGACAGGTGTCACAGACTGTAGCTAAGGACAGATGGTATTGATTGCAGCTAGGGACATGTGGTACAGACAGTAGTTAAGGACTGGTGGCACAGACGGTAGCTAGGGACAGGATATACAAACGGTAGCTATGGACAGATGGTACTGATTACAGCTAGGGACATGTGGTACAGACGGTAGTTAAGGACAGGCGGTACAGACGGTAGCTAAGGACAGGTGGAACAGACGGTAGTTAAGGACGGGTTGCACAGACAATAGATACGAATAGGTACAGACGGTAGATACGGATAGGTTGAACAGACGGTAGCTATAGACAGATGGTACTGATTGCAGCTAGGGACATGTGGTACAGACGGTAGCTATGGACAAATGGTAATGATTGCAGCTAGGGACATACGGTACAGACGATAGCTAAGGACATGTGTCACAGACTGTAGCTAAGGACAGATGATAATTATTTCAGCTAGAGACTTGCGGTACAGAAGTAAGGGACAGGTGGCACAGACGATGGCTAGGGACAGGTGGCACAACCGGTTGCTAAGGCCAGGTGGTGAAACGGTAGCTAAGGACAGGTGGTACAGACGGTAGCTAAGGACGGATGGTACAGGCGGTATCTAAGGACAGGTGGAACAGACGGTAGCTAAGGACGGGTGGTTCAGGCAGTAGCTAAGGACGGGTCGTACATACGGTAGCTAAGGACAGGTGGAACAGACGGTAGCTAAGGACGGGTGGTACAGGCAGTATCTAAGGACAGGTGGAACAGACGGTAGCTAGGGACAGGTGGAACAGACGGTAGCTAAGGACAGGTGGAACAGACGGGAGCTAAGGACGGTGGTACAGGCGGTAGCTACGGACATGTTTGATTTTATTTTCTTACAGAACAACGCTTGACACAGTGATTTATAAAACATGTCATTAATTATTATCCCGGTGTTAAAATATAATTGGCATAGCTTGTTGCAGAAGACTGACCTCCACGTACGCTGAGAAAAACGGCAGGTTAAATGGGACATCATAGAAACTGTACTCCGGGAATCGTCTATACTTGGCAAGATCTGCTGTCATGGTGTAGCTGTGCTGTGATGCAAAAATAGAACGCTGAACATAACAAATACATTGAGGATTTTGTAAAAGGAAATATCAATGACCTTTTGAACAATGTATCCTTTTTTACAAACCACAACACCATCAGATACTGCTGATCAATTGTCTGATTGTTTCATTTGGTTATATACATAATATATAGCAATCATATTTACAACGGCTTGTAAAAACAATAAAACTGAGCAATTAATTATGGATGGCCTCTGGTGTTTCTGCCTTTGCATAAATCAACATATTATGATCTTTTAAAGTTAAATCTGATAAAAATGAAAATATCGAATGATGTGCGTTGATGTCATTATGCACAACAATTATACCTGCATATGGTGGCCAGGATAGGCTTCGTGGAGACTTAGTGCCATGTAGTCAAATGTAGGACTGAAAAGAGATAAAGTGAGACAATTTGAATTGTTCAATCTCATGATTTCCTTTACTTTGTATATAAATATGTTAAGATTCGTAGTGATTGTTA